CATGTAACAAAGCATACCAAAATTTAGTAGCTTAAAGCAAAATCATTTATGTATGTCATAATTCTATGAGTCATAAATTGGGGCTGGGCTCAGCTGAGAGGTTCTTCTCTTCACTTTTGGTCTCATGCATGTGTGGATTAATGGGAGCTGGCAGGTCTAAGGTGGACTTGACTGGAATAGTCTGTCTTTGTTCCAAAAGGTTAGCTGGAGCTTGTTTTCCTGGCAACAGAGCAGAGTTCCAAGAAAGAGCATCAGTATGCAAGGCCTTTTGAGGTCCAAGGTTCAGAACAGGAATCACTTTTGATATACTCTATTGGCCAAAGTTAGTCCCAAGTCCAAATCCCAGCTTGCTCAAAACAGTGACCCATGTCTTTGGCCTCAATCTCCATAGTTCTGGTAAAAGAAAAAAAAATAAAGAAAAATTGAGTTAACATTGGGTTTTTCCAAATGATAAAACCTAGAATTAAGAAAGAACTAAATAAATTTTCAAAAATACATAAAATGTAAAACTGCTGAAAAGATAAGAAGAAATGGATAAATCTATAATTAAGATGGAAATATTTAATGGGTCATAGGCCTCAGGAATCCTCTAAGTAAACAAAAAGTGCACAAGCATAATGAATTTAAAGGATTAAAAAGGCATTTTAAATCTTGATTTAATACACATGTAGCACTATTAATTAACGAATTAAAGTAGATTCATACCATTTTAAAGCACAGCTGAAAAATGGCTAAAAATTATCATCATAAGACATGTATATTTCAAATATTCCAAAAGAAATCAATCCACTCCTATAAATTCACCACAATATTACAACATTAGAACTTCCAAAAAAAGACATGTGTATATGAGGTGGGGATTTTTTAACCTTCTAAAAGATTTATGGGTTAAAAAAAAAACTACAAAATTTTTAAATGAATCAAAATGAGAGTTCTACATACAAAATCTTCATTAAAATTGTTAAAGTAGAAATTAAATGAAAGATGTAAAGGCATTTATTAGAAAATTAGAAATTTTACATTTTTAAATTAAAAGCTAATTAAACTCAAAAGTTAATTAAACTCAAAAAGCTAACAGACCTGAATTTGCTCAGCAGTCTTATCTAAGATTCATCTATTTTACTAATCTTTTCAAAGAAACAAACTTTGTTTACATTGATCAAGGCTACTATATTTTTTGAAATTTTTATAATTTTCATTTATTACATTGACAAATTTTTTATAATTTTTAATGTGGTGCTGGCAATACAATTATGAATAGTTATGAAAACCAGATTTTTTATTAAAAAAGTAAGTTATACCAAAAATTTTAAATATATGTATGATTTCCAAAACAACAGAGAAGCATTTAGTTATTTATCCTTAAAATATATTAGTCCTGGGCCAGGCTCGGTGGCTCACACCTGTAATCCCAGCACTTTTGGGAGGTCGAGGCAAGCAGATCACTTGAGATCAGGAGTTCAAGACCAGCCTGACCAACATGACACGGTGAAACCCGGTCTTTACTAAAAATGCAAAAATTAGCCAGATGTGGTGGTGGACGGCTGTCCCAATTACTTGGGAGGCTGAGGCAGGAGAATCACTTGAACCCGGGAGGCAGAGGTTGCAGTAAGCTGACATCATGCCACTGCACTCCAGCCTGGGCTCCATCTCTAGAAAACAACAACAACGCTGGGTGATTAGCCCTTATATGCGTTTCCTGGATGAGCCATTTTTTAAATTACTTTTTGTTGGGGATTTCCCTGCAGAGCTGTTGCACCTTGTGGGGTGAACACCCAGACACTCCCATGAGGCCCTGATCACCCAGGGCTGCCTTTTGGCTGGGAGGAGCAAGTGCCCTTTCTCTTCGGAGCTGAAAAACTCAGTCTCTTATTTATCTGTGAAAACAACAGTTCAGTTCCTCACGCAAAAGCACACAGACAAACTGAATTAAGACAGATTTTAGGAGAACAAGCAATAGAGAATTCCTTTTAGAATGCATCTCAGAACTAGAACTAGGATCTGTAACGAACAACTTCCTAGGAAAAAAATATCTCATAATAAATCAAGGACTGTCAACCAAAGGGAATTGTGGGGCGCAAGGAGGACTTACCAGTTCCACCAGAGGAAAAGCTCAAAGCTTCAATAGGCCACTGCTGGTACCTTAGCTCTGGTTTTGGGCAACTACTTCAGGGTTCTGAGTCTTCTCTAAGGCCTCACGTGTTTGGACGCCAAACTATTGTTGACAAAAAGAGTCAAACTCTGTAAAATATTTTAAGTGGTTTATTCTGAGCCAAATATGAGTGATCATGGCCCATGATGCAGCCCTCAGGAGATCCTGAGAACAGGTGCCCAAGGTGGTCAGGGTACAGCTTGGTTTTACATATTTTAGGAAGGCATGAGACATCAATCATATACATTTAAGAAACACATTGGTTGGGCGCGGTGGCTCATGCCTGTAATCCTAGCACTTTGGGAGGCCGAGGCTCGCAGATCACGAGGTCAGGAGTTCAAGACCAGCCTGATCAACATGGTGAAATCCTGTCTCTACTAAAAATACGAAAATTAGCAGGGCATAGTAGTGCACGCCTGTAATCCCAGCTACTCAGGAGGCTGGGACAGGAGAATTGCTTGAACCTGGGAGGCAGAGGTTGTAGTGAGCCAAGATTGCACCACTGCACTCCAGCCAGGGTGACAGAGCAAGACTTCATCTGAAAAAAAAAAAAAAAAAAAAAAAAAAAAAAAAGTCAAGCTTACGGAGGTAGAGAGTAAAATAATGTAGCAGGCAGAAGGGGATATGGAGAAGCTGGTGAACAAGTACAAAATCACAGCTAGATAGATAGGAGGAATAAGTTTCAGTGTTCCATAGCTCTGCAGGGTGACTGTAGCTAACAATCATTTATTGCATATTTTCAAGTAGCTAGAAGGGACGATTTTGAATGTTCTCACACAAAGAAATGAAAAATATTTGAGGTACCCTGATTTGATCATTACACATTGTGTACATGTATTGAAATATTACTCTGCATCACATAAATATGTATCATTATGTCAATTAAAAATAAAATTTTAATTACAAATATATTTTAAAAACAAATACTATATCTGACCTGACACTGGAATCTCAACTGAAGGAGGAAATGAATGCTATAAAGGCATTATTAGGTCAACTGGAATATTAGAACACAGATATATATATACGATTTAAATTTATGGAGTTAGTAACTATACTGTCATATAGGAGAATATCCCTATTCTGAGGACATACACACTGAATTATTTGGGAGTAAAAGGCCACAGTAATATAAAGCCATGAGCATATAACTTATTGCCAATAGGTTCAAAGAAAAATGTATACAAAGACACACAGAGAAACTAATCGAGATATGCATCTATCTATAGATAGAGCGGGGTAAATGCTAAAGCAAGGAAGGTCAAACGTCAATGGCAGGCAACCCTCAGGGAGCTGGGAAAAGGGTGTTGGACAATTTGTATGTTGCAGCTTGTATGTTTTAAATTATTTTTAAAAGAAAACATTTTTTAATGGGTTGAGGAGATTGAGATGACTCAAATTTATGACATCCAGTGGACTGTGCATGCTGTATGGAAACAAGGAAAAAAGAAAAGTCATCGTTGCTTAACAAGCGAAGGATAAAAAGACAATTAACTCACTGAAGACTATGCACAGAAACACAAAAGCCTTTGCTTCTGTGGTTATACGTTTACCAAAGGCACAAAGGGGATCGTATATATTTTAGGATTATAATTTATATCACTTAATTGAAAAAATTACAGATTCTAAGATATTTTTACAAATCTGAGCAACTGCTAAAGTCTTGGAACATATTCTTACCAAGTCCTAGATCTTTTGTTTTGTTTTGTGTCTGAAATCAAACACGGTTTTTTAGAGCAGGAAAACGTGAGAAGCTAGAGCTGCTTTACTCAGTTGGCCCAAACCAGGACTCCTGAGACATTCCCTTATACCACAGGCACCAGATTAGAGAAAGGAGACTAGAAAAGTAGAGCTGGAACACAAAAGAAGAGTCTCGATGGGAAACAGACTCCAAAGGATGCTATGCTGGGGAGGGGACACAAAATATTTCTTGAGAAGAATGTGGAGATGGCAAAGTCTCTAATCTCCAGAAACCTTAAACTCTAAAGGAAGGAAGCAAACATTTAGATATGAGAATGTTTGTATCAAAATTCAAACAATAAGTAATTTTTCTATAAATTATCTTGTTTTTCCAATCATGAAAGTACACATAATTGTTCTCTCCAAACTCAGGCATATTAGACAAATAGATGATAGATGATAGATAGATAGACAGAGATGATAGATAAATATAGATAGAGATACATACCTACATAATACATACATATTTATGTACATATGTTGGCACATAGATGTTTACCAAAGATTATTCTAGATGCATATCTTGTAACCTATATTTTATACTTTATCATCATTTTTAATAACTGCATACTGCTCTATTATATTTTATATTTTCTATATTAGATTAGACCCATGTTTTATCACCATTAGGTGGCTTTTGGTTTTTTGTTACTATAACGTTGAGATAAGCCTCTTTAGGTACTTGTTCAACTATACCCTTTAAACAAAAGCCCAAGGTACAAAGTTCCGGAGTAAAAAAAAAGGCACATTTGAAGGCTTCTGATGTATAGTGCCAAACTGAGCTACAAAAGAAAAACTGCATCAATTAACACTCCCAGCAACAACTAAAAGAATGCCCGTTTCCCTGCCTCTCACCAATACTGGCTGGCACGCACAGTTTCAGAGATGAGTGCTGGGAACCGATGCACTCTTTGCTCTACCTCTCCCACTCCTAACAGTCTAGAACACAGGCACTCAATAAATTCATCCAGGCTCCAGCCCAGTAGACATTCTGATCTAATCTGACTGCTCTCGGTAACAGAAAACTCTCCCTTGGTTCACTGCCCCACATCCTGGCATCATGTGGATCCTATAAAGGCAGTAGCTCCAGGCACATTACAATGGGACCCAACTCCATTAAACCACCAGCCGCTCCCCAAACCACTCCTTCAGCCATGAAGTTCCTGCTCCTGCTTTTGGTAGCCCCTGGCTTCCTGACCCAGGTGATCTCAGGTAAACTGGATAAATAAGGGAAAGAAGAATTGGGAAGAAGGAACACTAACTGATCTGTTTGTTCTGGTGATAGATGAGCTGGGTGGGGGCAGGGTTCACCCCAGAGTTCTAGTCTAAGGTAGGGATCTTCTAATAACCACCACTAACCCTTGATATCCCACACCCACACACCCAGCCACCACCCTATATAACCTTTACAAAAATTTGTTTTCTATTCTAAAACGATTGTCTCCCTCAACCTGAACCCAAGTATTTTCTTTCACTTTATGTGAGCTCCCTATATCTAACCTCCTAAGACGCTGAAGCCTGTTATCACCGTGTGCATCCATTGAGATCAGCCCTGGGTTTGGGCTCAAAGGAGATATTGAGCCTAGAAGGAAGAGATTGAGGTTCCCATCCCTATGTTCAAAAGAGAATTGGCAGGTGGGGCAATGGAAGGAGACCTCTTAGAGGCTAGTTCCCATAGGATGGTAAGCAAAGAGTTCGGCTCAAACCTGGGGCTAAGGGAGAATGCAGGGTCAGAAAGAGAGAGACACACAGACAGAGAGGTGGGGGAGACAGAGATCAGAGGAGAGCTAGGCAATGGATGCGAAGGCCTGAGGGTGCTCCAAAGAGGCCCCTGCTGTGAGCCAACGGCAGACACAAAGCACTGAAGCAAACACATTTCACCAGATGGTGAAACGGTGCCCAGTACTGTGTGAATACAAGATGCCCTGTCACGAGCAACCATTATTTTATTTTTAATGGTTTTGGAGAATGATTTGACTCTCCCCCTTTGCCCCAGGTTGATAATATTTTTTAGAGTCTATGAAAACAAATAAGGCAGAAACACCTTAAAAGGGAGCCTGTGGGGTGAGTGAGAATAGTCCCATTTCTCCGTTTGGAGTATCCAAGCTCCTCCCTGACCATGAAGACCTGGCTCCCCACCCCTGTTTTTTACCCATACATCCTATTCTGCAGTATCAAATGTAGCAAAATTATGGTCTTCCCTAGCTTCAAAGATGCAGATACTGACAAAGAGGAAGAGCTCCTCAGACAGAGTTCCCCAAGGCCATCAGTCCAGGAAGATTCTGTCTCCTCATCACTCGCTTTCCCAAGTCTCATTTGCACGACATCCTAAGGACACATCTCAGAACAACAACAACAAAAAAACAAACACTCCCATCTGGCCCTGACCCCTTAGCAGTCCTGTGCTGCTTCCAACCATGACTTCTCTGTCCTGTCTTCTCCCATGCAGCCAGTAGGGGTGCATCAAAATGTGTGAGTGACATCCCAGGATACTGCAGGACACATTGCCACCAGGGGGAGACAGCATTGTTCATGTGCAACGCGGTCAGAGAATGCTGCGTCAGCTACTTGTTTTTGCCGAAGCCTCACCTACCACACCCCCTCAGTAGGCACTGGGAATCAAGGCGAAGAAGCGTGCAAAGGAAAGACAGGAAGCAACAAGTGACCACAACATCATAATGACCACTGCTATTGTCTTTACCAACTCAAAGAAATATCATTTCCACTGTTCCAATTCCTCCTACATTGCTGAGAACTAGCCAAGGCTCCTCCTTATGGGGTAGATATCTATAGCCAACCCCAAAACGTCTATCTTCTCCATCATTCTGTCATTCATCTAATAACTAATTTGGAATCTGTATCTATCTTATGAGAACAATCATTATGCAGACTCATCCACGGGGGATCTGCCGGTTTGGGTCCTCCAAATGAAAAATGCCAAGACAGAATTGGTCATGCAAAAGACGGACTGGGAGAACACACCTCTGATGGACGAAGGTGAGAAGAGCAGCCACAGGCAGGGAGAACCTTCAGACTGCAATGCTGGCCTGATACGTATCAAAGAAGAGAGGGATGGAGGAGGTTTGAATAGGAGAAGACTGAGACTGCGCTTCTAAGAAACTCTGAGCCAAACTGATGGGGAGGCCCAAAGCAAGGCTTGCCTCTCAGAGGAGTTCACACAGGGCAGTATCAGCCAGGCTCTCATATCCAATGGGTTCAGTCTTTGGCTGAGAACAGCCCCTGGAGAACATGGGGTGAATGCGATCATAGGTCTAGAAGTGTGACAGCTTGAGACTGTCCACCAACTATCCCCTTGAAGCAAGCTCTCTTGAAAGGAAATCCGAACGGTGCACCCCCATGGCTGCCACGGAGTGTAAGGAGGGAGAGAAGGGAGCTGAAAGTGTAGGTTTGGCCAGCCAGGTAGACTGACTTGTGATGTATTTATTTATTCATTTGGGTAATAAAGCAGAGAAAATTCATAGCCACCACTGATAGTACACCCCGAGAGCAAGGATGGCATGATGCTGGCGACTCAACTGTACCTGCCCATGGTATAAAATTGGCATAACCCTCTAGGAAGCTGTGTGGAAATAAGCACAGAGAAGCAGAACTCTACTTGTTTAATCCACTAAATATTACTTCTGGGAATTTGTTCACTGCAAATTAGCCAAGAGAAGCGCAAAGTTATGGGCAAAAAGGTGTTCCATATACTATTATTTAAAACGATGAGAAAATGAGAAAATCTAAATGGTGAAATACTAAATACTGATGCCATCTATAAATACAGATAGAATGCTTATAGAATAATGGAACAAAATGTTATTCAAAATTGCATCACACTTATGCTGTGGCTGTCGAAATCGTCTCCTTATATGACACAAAACTCAGGAAAATTATGGCAACTTTTTTGTTTGTTTAGAAAGCAGAATTGCTCGTAAATTTCCTCTTACAGTTTGATGCCCACTAATTTTATATAATGTTTATGTGACAGGTACTAACTTCTATCTGAGAAGAACAAACTAAAACACTCAGTCCTAAATAATTAAAAGCAGTCCTAAAAACCAGCAAACCAGATAAGAAAAAATGTTAATGCCCCTTCCCTAACTTATATCTTAGACCGAAATTAATTATAGATGACTTTAAAATAACAGCGTAAAAGTAAAGTGTTAAAAGATTGTGTGGCCAAATGTTTAAGAGCAAGGAAATTCTTTTAACAATAGAGGCAGAACTCATGTAAGAATAAATTGATTACGTGGCATAAAATATTAAATTCTTCTGTATGTCAAAAGATAGCATTTCGAAATTCATCCATCTTATTGGGTATTGCAGGAGTTCATTTTCTTTTGTTAATGAATATCTTCCATCATATGAATAGTATTTATTCATACACTGATTTGTTCATGGACATTTGGGTTGTTCCCAGTTTGTGGTTATTACAAATAAAGTTTCTATGACCATTTATGTACAAATCTCTGTATGGATGTATGCTTTTTATTTCTCTAAGGTAAATATCTAGGAATGGAATGTCTGAATCATATGGTAGGTAAATGTTTAGCTTTTTAAGGAAATACAAAATTGTTTTCCAAAATGGTCGTGCCAGTGGATGTGCCCATCAGCAGTACGTGGAAGATCCAGCTGTTCCTCATCCTCACCAGCATGTGATATGGTCAGTCTTCTGCATTTTCATCATTCTAATAGGTGTGTAGCGGTATTTCATTATGATTTCAATTTGCATCTTTAATAACTAATTACCAAAAAAGTATATTCTGTATGATTCTATTTACATAACATTATTTACAATTCTTTTTAAATTACATAATTTTTTTTTGAGACAGAGTCTCTTCTGTCCCCCAGGCTGGTATGAAGTGGTGGGGTATCAGCTCCCTACAACCTCCACCTCTCGGGTTCAAGCGATTCTCCTGCCTCAGCCTCTTGAGTAGCTAGGATTACAGGCATGTGCCACTATGCCCAACTAATTTTTGTATTTTTAGTAGAAACAGAGTTTCACATGTTGGCCAGGCTGGTCTCGAACTCCTGATCTCATCATCTGCCCACCTCAGCCTCCCAAAGTGCTGGAATTACAGCCGTGAGCCAATAGAAAGTAGACTCTAATGACAAAAAGCAGATCACTAGTTGTCAGGGGATGTGAGAGGTGTATGGAGAGGATTGAAAGAACGTTGCAAAGGGACCTGAGGACACTTTGAGGGGTGATTGATCAAGACACATTCATAATCTTAACTGTGGTAATGGCTTAACAGGGGTGTACCTAAGTCAAAAAATTATCAAATGGTACACTTTAAATGTGTTTAGTTTATTGTACATCAAACTTCCAAAAAAGCTATTACTTGAATAAAATAAATCTCCCAGTGAAACAGAAAAATTAAAGTATCATAAATAGTTTAAAGATGTTGACAAACTAAGACATGTGATGAAGTACTGATACTGATAAAATGTAACAGGTTAATATGAAGCAACAAGGAAAACATCAAACCCCTAGTAGAAAATGAAAAAGTGACATGAACTAGCTTTTTAACTCCAAAAATGGCCCAAAAAAATGGGAAAAAATCTGTCTGACTTGTGATCAAATAAATGCAAATTAAAACTAGAATGAGATCTTGTTTTTCACCTACCAGATTGTCAGAGAATTAACAAACCCAAGTTTGACAAGGCATAAATAGAAAGAAGTCTTATCATCAGATGCTCTTGTTTAGAACTAAATATGTCAATATTTATTTCAAAACCCTTAAAAATGTTCATATTCTGTGGCTCAGAGACTCTACTTTTAGGAATATATTCTGAAGAAATAATTAGAGTTCATATCAAAAAGATTAATGTATATACAGCACAATCATAGCAGCACAGTTTACAAGAGTGAAGAGGAGGTGATGCAAGATGACTGAATAGAAGCCCCCACTCATCATCCTCCCCACGAGAACACCAGATTTGACAATCATCTACACAAAAAAGTGCCTTCATAAGAATAAAAAATGAGGTGAATGATTACAGTACCTGGTTTTAACTTCATATCACTTAAGAGGCACTGAAGATGGTAGGAAAGATAGTCCTGAATTGACACACCTCTCCCAGTCCTCAGGTAGCAGCTGCTGCGGTGTGGAGAGAGCATACGTGCACTTGCAGAAGGGACAGCACAGTGATTGTGGGATTCTTCATTGGAACTCAGTGCTGTTAACACCAGGCAGAACTCAGCAGACGCCTAGAAAGGGATCATTCAGACCATCCTAGCCAGAAGGAACTCACCCATCCCAGAGGTTCGAACTTCAGTTTCAGCAAGCCTCACCACCACGGGCTAAAGAGCTCGGGGTTCCTAAATAAACTTTAAAAGCTGTATAGGCCACAAGAACTGCAATTCCTGGGCAACTCCTAATGCTATGCTGGGCTCAGAGGCAGCAGACTTAGGGAGCACTCAACCTAGTGAGACACCGGCTGGGGTGTGTGTGTGTGTGTGTGTGTGTGTGTGTGTCTGTGTGTCTGTGTGTATGTGCGTTTCTCGTGTCTCAGTCTCCCAAGTAGCTGGTGATGGCAGTGGCGGCCCATCTGGAGTGGACGCTGCCATCACACCATCTGGAGCAGGGAGGCGAAGCTCAGGCTGCACATTCCACAGAGCTGCAGAGCTGGGGACAATGGGAGCCCCATACCTTCCAATTCGGTGAGGCAGGAGCTCCCCAGGTGCAACTGCAGCCACCCGTCGTGGCTGTGAACCCAGGCCTCCTTGTGCCCTTGGGGGTGCTGGAGCAGGCAGGAGCCCTGATCTTTGGGATGCAGCTGCAGCCGCCCAACCACAGGAGCAGAGCCAGGCATCTCGACACTCATGGGGGTCAGGGAAGGGTCCACTGAAGTTGTGTGGTGGCATGTACCTGTAGCCCCAGCTACCTTGAGCTGAGGTGAGAGGATCATTTGAACCTGGGAGTTCAAGGCTACAGTGAGCATGATCACACCACTGCACTCCAGCCTGGGTGACAGAGCAAGACCCTGTCTCAAAAAAAAAAAAAAAAAAAAAAAAAAAAAAAAAAAAAAAAGGCCAGGCATAGTGGTTCATACCTGTAATCCCAGCACTTTGGGAGGGCCAGGTGAGTGGTTCACAAGGTCAGGAGTTGCAAGGGCCACTCTCCCTTGCAAGAAGCTGCAGAATTAATACAGAAAGTCTCATGTACCCATAACCCAGTGCCTCTCGGAGGTAACACCTTATATAATTACACTACATTATCAAAACTGGGAAGTTGACTTTGACACAATACAGCTAATTAGACTACAGCCTTTACTCAAATGTCACCAGTTTTTGCACGCACTCAGTTTTGGTGCATCTTTGTTTACAACTTTATGCATTTTTAAATTTTACTTTAAGTGCTGGGATACATGTGCAGAACATGCATGTTTGTTACATAGGTACACACGTGCCATAGCGGTTTGCGGCACCTATCAACCCATCATCCAGGTTTTAAGCCCCACATGCATTAGGTATTTGTCCCAATGCTTTCCCTCCTCTTGCCTCCACACTTGAACTTTATGCATTTTAACATGTTTAGAGTCAGAGAGTGGCTTAGCCTTTTGGAACTCCCTCGAGTTACACTTTTAAAGTCACACTTTCCCCTTTCTCAAGCCCCTAGCAATCATTATCTGTTCTTTTTTTTTCCTCTTTCTTTCTTTCTTCTTTCTTTCTTTCTTCTTTCTTTCTTTCTTCTTTCTTTTGACAGGGTCTTGCTTTTTCACTTAGGCTAAGTGCAGTGGAGTGAACACAGCTTACAGCCTCGAACTCCTGGGATCAAACAATCCTCCCATCTCAGCAGTCACTCCAGTGGCTGGGACTACAGGCACTTGCCACCACACCCCACTAATTTTTTTTTTTTTTTTAGAAAAAGGTTCACACAATGTTGCCCAAGCTGGTCTCCAACTCTCCAACTGCTGGGATCAAGCAATCCTCCCATGTCAGCCTCCGAAAGCACTGGGATTACAGGCATGATCACACCTACAGTTTTAATCTACTTTCAATGTCTCTCTACTTAAAAAAAAAAAAAAAAAATCTATCCTAGCCCCCAGGTGTTGATTAATAATAACCAAGCTGCCATCTTCAGCATTACCCGCTCCCTGGGAGAGGAAGGAGAATACGAGTTGTTGGTGTATTCTCAGGAGACAATTTTCAGGCTCAATCCAACCAGGAAAAGCTGCGCAAAAAGATTCTGTTACCGACACAGCAGATGGGTTCAGTCAAGCAAGGGGATTTTATGACTTGCAACAAGTAAGGAGAAAGAACACTGGGATAGCTCCCAAAGTAGCGTCATCTTGGGAGTTGGGGGCTGGGTCAAGGGTTTATACATAGGATCATGAGGCTGATCTGATTGGATCTTGCAGTGAGGTGACCCCAGAAGGCATGATCTGACTGGATCCTGCAATGAGGTGACCCCAGGGCTCAGGCTGATTAGTTCTGGATCCTGCCTCCTGGCCTCCTCCGGGCCAGAGCACTTAGGTTCCCCTGCCGATGTGGGCTTAGTTCATCTGGGCATGCTCAGTTTCCATGACCTTCAACCTGGGGGTCCAGGGCAACTGAAAAACAACTCACCACTTTGTTACATAAAAGTTGAACTCCATTGGTCTGATGCTGTTACAATTATACAATGTTTAACACTAACACAGGGACATAGCTCTGTAAAGGTGACAGACAACTCAGGGTCACAAATGTTCTATTTTCTGATTCACCACAATAGAGGGGGTGGCCAAGATTCCATGGCTGGTCATTGCAAGCTCACAGACCAGGGATGGTTCTTATCATGCAGTGAGTATGTTAGCTGTATACTTCATTTTTCCTCACTATTGGTTCATTTTCCTTACATGGGGCCCTCCTTTTCCTCCTTTGCCACAGATACAGCCAGTACATTCATGCAATAATTTAAAAAATATTTATTGGGAACCAACTATGTGCGCAGAACTGTTCCCTGCACTAGAGATAGCAGTAGGGAGACAGACTGCCTACTCTCATGCAACTTACAGTTGGTGGAATCAGACAAAGAACATTTTTAAAAACGAATGTGTAGGCCAGGTGCGGTGGCTCAAGCCTGTAATCCTAGCACTTTGGGAGGCTGAGGTGGGTGGCTCACCTGAGGTCAGGAGTTCAAGACCAGCCTGGCCATCACTGGTGAAACCCCATCTTTAAAAAAATAATAATAAATAAATAAAAATAAAAAATAAATAGAAATGAATGTGTAATAACACTAAGAAAAATGAATGTGTAAAATCAGATAGCAGTCGCAGTTAAAAAGAAAATAAAGCAGTGTGAGAGATGGAAAGTGACGGGGAGAAAGAACCTGGTTAGAAATGGTGGTTAGGCAAGACCTCTCTAAGAAAGGAAACGAGCTGACTGCATGATGAGCCAGCCACGTGAAGACCTTGAGAACAGCTTTCAAAGCGGGTGACCGACCGGGTCTGCAGAGGCTGAGCAGGAAATAAGCTTGGTTTG